CAAACATGTCCACATATTTAATACCTGAAACCGTATACTCGTGGGGTAAATGGGATGTCCGTCCATACGTGATCTGAAATATAAACCACATCATCCGACCTTTGAACATCCGATAAACAACATGTGTGAACAGACTACCTTTGCAAATTAACTTCACACTGCAACTACGACAAATCGCGAGGCCACGGTGGACGTAGCTTTTCAGGTTCAGAAGGAATTCGTAAGGAAGCGACGTGAAGGGTCTTACATCACACTTTTTTCCCCCACACATCGATTATAACATGTCCTTGTGAGCCATGCAGAGTGGCCTAGTTTATTTACTGATTGATGTGGTGATTTGATAGAGGCGTTAAAAGCTCTTGTTAATATGCTATTTATTTCCTTATTCCACTCAGCCAGTTATTGTCGAAGGCCCACTTTTAATCGTCATTATATGTTGTCCGCTTAGAATATGTGACATTCGTATAGGAATAGAATGGCTATCTGAATTCGGTGTTAAAAAATGGATTTTTTCCCCTCTCAGCGATTCATTTGAATTTTTCAATATCTTTTAGTTCCCGACGTATGTTTTTTTGTTTTTTGATGATTGATCCACGTCTGTTGTAATACTGTACCCATTTTTGGAATCCACTTTGTTTTGAGCTGTAGGAGAGGCGATAAAGAGATTTTTGTGTATGCACTGCTTATGTTGAATGTGTGTAAGGGAAATGAAATTGCAGGTAGCGGTTTGTAAAACAATGTTCTTATATACAAATCCACATCGATTGATGAAAATATATATTCTCGTATTGGGTTGATAAGAGTCGTAATTTCCTGTGTTGATGATGTCTTTTGTATTTTCAGCTTTTTGTAGAATTCTCCAGAATAAAATCATATTAAACGCAATGAGAACGAAGCTTTATAGACATGAGTAAAAAAAATATTGTGATGAACGTGTAAACAATTTAAATTCTTTCTTACGTAAATATGAAAATCGTTAACTGTGCAATTTTTATTTCAGAATATATTGAGAAAAATTTCTTTATCCATTGAAATGTAATTAAATCTAGTTTTCTCACAGAATAAACGCCACTGAAAGGACTGTAATTTTTTAAAACGACAGTTTTATTTTGTGGGTGTTACTATTTTAAGAAAGTTAAGAGATCACCGTTCTAGTAGTCTGTTGAACCTATGAGACTGTTTCTTATATTCTTTATTTCAGTTTTCGCGTAATGGTAGATAACAGGCGGACTTCTTTTGTTTGAATATAAATGTGTAATTTTGAGCGATAAAACGCCACGGCTTATTCTTAGTTCGTTCGAAGCTTAGTAAGATAAGGCAGTAAGTAGTACGTACCGCGATATACGTAGAGGAGCTGTAATGAAATCTGGAATGAGAGAAATCCCGACACCATTGGCGATTTGGAGCAGCGCATATTAATTCGTTCGCTGCAGTTACGAATATTTTTTGTGTTGTTTTTCGTAGCAAGGCCATTGAACCTTTGACACTGATTGCTCTGACGTCAGACGGCGCCGTTATGCTTCATTAAAAAAACAGCATTACGGACGCAATTTATATCCTAGAAGTTTGTAGTCATTTTGTTGAATTCATTCAGGATTATGCCTATTGGACTCTGTTGTACCAGATACGGTAAGGGAGTTTAATGATGTCTCCTATTCAGATGTGCGATGTTAGTTAAACCCAAAGGTTAAACTTCCCCCACAGAGTTGGTTTTTGAACCCTGTTCTGAGCTCTCGTCAATTATGAAGATTAAATATTTTAAGCGAATGGTGACGTGAAATTCGTTGCTTTTTAAAGAAGTTTATGCATCTAAATCGTAAATAATTTTTGTAAACGTCTTGGTCTCTGGACTTTATAATTGTAATGCCGTAGTAAATTTCCGACGATCGTCGTAGAATTTAACTTAACAACATTGCTTGAATCGCTTGTCCCCCCCCCCCCCCAAAAACCCCCCC